CGAGATCCCGATCAGTCATTCTGGGCATTTCCGGTGATGAAGAATCCGTCGTGGTTTTCAATTTTAGCGACCTTCGTTGTTGTTCGGCCATAGACGTACTACTACTACTACTCACAGCATTCACGGAATAGCTTCGTCGTTGCGGTTTCCACACTGAGGACAGGATGCGCGAGACTAGACGGTGTCCGGTATGGAACAGATCTGGATGCGAGGATTTCCTCGGCCTAGTACGTTTTCGCGAACAGTGCTGCTCAGTCGACTTGGTGTCATGAGCCAAACCCATGGGCAAATAGTGCTCCGCATAACTACTGTTCACATACAAAACCACGTACTGCCTTGCACCGGAATAATACCGTTGGATTAATCGTAACCGCCTCTGGGTGAGCTCGACCATACGTGCCCCGGTATAGTCGTCCGAGCTTTGACCGACGTCAACTGGTAGAGGAGCGTAGATATGCCATGCCTCGACTGTGCCTTTGTTCACCAGGAACGCAGCAACTAGCTGATATTTTTCCACTCTAGAAGAAACAAACGATGACGAAGACGAGGACGCTGATGCGGCGGATCCGATCCTCTGATCGTGATCTGTCTGACTGTGGGAATGTTGATGATGGCGATGATGATGATGACGATGATGATGAAGAACACGTTTCTCAAATCTTTCCTTCAATTTTAAAACAACATTCAATGGCAAGGGATCGGGTCGCGTCTGGTCGTACTGTTGACCATAGTAAACGGAGTTATGCGGATCGATGAAAGACGTGGTTAGACTGTGAGGATAACTCGAGTCGGATAAATAGGCAGGATCTAGAGCAGCGGGAACGAAAAAACGTCGCCCGAACTCGTCCCCGCTTGGAAGACGATTTGGGTCCATGACTCTCGTGGAATCCAATGGATAGGCACTGGCAAGTGGGCTAAATTCAGTTACTGGGTATTGTGATACCGAGTGATGAGCATGGGAAACGGAAGACGACTGAACACTCTGCGAGTGTGAAATTGGTGGGGGCTTCCGACTGCCTTTCGATTTCACGGAATTCGAACTCCAACTAGATGGCCTCGGTGCCTGCTCGGACGTGTTCACACCGCCGGATCGACGATTGTTGTTCCATCGATGACCGTAATGTGAGGCTTCAATATGCATGATTCCTGAGTATGGTTGATGTACACAACCGATTTGATTTTCACATCAGCCTCCGAGGGGTTTGCACAGACCGTGTGATCATTGAAGCTTGCTTGGCTGGGTCTGGAAAGAGGAAACGAAAACGGGCATGCGTCAAATGCGATCAGTCGAAATGAGTTTCAACGTCTTTGTTTGCTCCAAGTAGTTTACCAAATTATTCCAGGTTGGGAAGTTTTAAACACACTTCAAATGGGAATTCGTCGTGTATATAGCAAATGAAGCGTGAACAGAAAAGTTCGGAAGCACTGGACAGCTGCTTCGACCTGGTTGGGTCTCATCAGCAGTGAGAATCCATCGACCCGAATGGAGATCGAACCCGGGACTTCATGGGCAGAACGCAAGCGTGCTACCCACTACGCCACCGAGCAGCTGATCAGACCGTTTTTCATTTTCCATTTTAAACAAACATTTAAAGTTGTACAATCGTATTTAAATGTGATCGAACATTTCTGTGCGGATCGACCGGGAAAACTGGACAGTATTGTACTCTGTGGGGAGGGGGCTCAAACCGCAAATCTTTGGTTTGGGAGTGAAAAGTCCCTTATCCTCAGATACGCGGCCGTAGGTTAACAGTTGGAGAAAACAGCCCAAACAGTTTATGATGTAAACAATTACCTGAGCCTAGTCGGTTTCTCACAGACGCCGGTCACTGTCGAATCAGCGTTCAATCTTTGCAGACACGCAGGCCACGATCATTTAGAATGAAGCGTGGAACTATATCTTCTTTTATTTATCAATACATTTTTCCTGTCATTCTTTATCGTTCGCCCGTTATTTTCCCTGGGCTACTTAAAAAGGATTTTACCACTGTTCATAGCAATTTGTTAAATACCAGACATGCTTCTCTTATTCCCTTGAACAGTCTCATCACAAAACGGTTTGGATGCGTGTGTGTGATTTCCATATCACTTCATTTGTGTGTGAGAGACAGAATTCGCCCACCCAACGACCCCAGTCATACGCTCAACCCCCTTCTATCTGCTTGCCTTTCCATAGCTATAATCCGATCCACAGTTATCGCTGCTTACCGTCCGGCATAACCATTTAGCGCAACTCAACGGTTCCCTGTCTGGCGCGTATTGTAACTGTTCACTAAATGAAAATCCGAAACGAACTAATTGCAACCCTAAACAAATGACATTTTTACAATCGCAAGCTTGGATTAGCCCATTCGATTATTAAGAGACCCCAGACACTCGATGTTCAAAGATGATCTTCCGTTCGTTTTTTAAACATTGTTGTACATTAATTGTTTTTCGTTTTATATCTCAGTGTAAAGGTGAACACATTTTTGACTGAAATGTAGTCATAGTTGCGTACACAATTTGGAAAAGAACGAAGCTCCCTCTCACATACACAAATTCATTGAAAAAATACTGAATTGGTTAATCCAATCATTGACTTTCCGTCTGTTGATTTTGAAACAGTTTTGATTAAATGAGTAATCTATAATTTAAGTTTAATCATCATGAAGACTTGACTGGAACTATTGATTGCTGTCTACTACTGATCGCTGTCAGCTAAAAACTGCGTTTACCATTAATTAAAACGCCTATAGACATCGATCGAGAAATTCGAACTCGTGCGGGTGTATCTTTGTGAAACTTGTTCCCTTCATAACGCGGGATTCAACTTGTGTGCTTGCTAAAGGTCATGAGCCATGATCTACACACACACACACACACACACACACACACACACACACACACACACACACACACACACACACAGTGACCTCCTGGACAATGAGAAAACACGCAAACAGACAGACTACGCTTGCAATCCGTGAAGTTGGTTTGAGTAATCCAACAGTGAATGGTCCCACTCATTATTTCTTTACCAATGATTCAGCTTTGGAATCAGCAGTCGCAACGTCCAGGGACTAACAATGCGATCGACAGAGAAAATTTGCTTTCGATATTAGGGCATTTTAGGTGACATGTTATTCCGCAATAATAGATAGACAGATATACATGTATATATATATATGATACTACTCTACTCGCCGAACTCAACGATTCTTTTTCGTAAACCCTTCAGTAGCAGCTAAGGCGACAACTTCCGTGCTTGATTGCTTCCATTCACTCTTTCTCAGAGGAAGCATAGGTGGACAAAACCGATATTATTGGATAAATGCATTGGGTAAATCAATCCCTGGGTAAAAAGTTGGAAATCACTGAACAGCTATTTCGACCCGGTTGGATCGCATCCGTGCAGTGCGCGAATCCGTCTACCCAAATGTGGATCGCGAACCCGGGATCTTATGGGTAAAAAGGAAAACTATCCGCCAAATTAGGAAGGAAGGCATCAAAACCTTTTGTTAATAATTCTGGTGTTCTTCAAGGTGCTGTTCTATCTCCATATCTTTTTTCTGTTTTTATTAGTGATCTTTCGGCCCCACCCCCTGCGCATATCCAAAAGTATGCTAATGAGGTTGTTGTATGTCAGACAGTTTCACCTCCTTCAGAATTTCTTTTTTTTACTGAAAACCTATCCCGTATCCAACACTTATCTGAGCAAGCTGGTCTCAGTCTTAACAAATCTAAGTGCGTAGAGTGTATTTTCAGTCTTTCCCGTTCCTAATTTCCAATGGACTACAGTCCCCTGAACGGTGAACCTGTATCAAGAATAATCTCATTCAAGTAACTGGGTATCACCACTGGGTATCACCATTGACAGCAATCATTATTGATCTACACATTAAAAACTGTA